ATGACTTGGACCGACAACCATCGCGGTGGATTGACGCGGGGGTCGGATCCATCGTTGGAGAGTGGGGAGGGGGCGGGCTGACTTTAGGGGGTTCAGACGGAGGGAGGGAGGGATGACACACACACACCGGCTGGACTGGGCAGCCGGGCAGCCCTCGGCCCCGACTGCTGGCCATCGGCACGTAAAGTAGCCCACATAAACAAGCCGTTAAAACCACTGTAATGTGGGCGGGCGGGGCCGGGCCGGGCCGAGGAATAACTGCCGGTGCTGGTGTCGCCGACGGGCCCGACGGGACGGTCTGGGCCGTGATAAGGGCTCATCGCCCAGGCACCAAGTGGTCAGCAAGATTACCAACCAGCTCGACCCTAATTTTCATTTCGTTTTATGTTCTCTCTCTCGCTCGCTCTCTCCCACCCCGCAGGGGCAGAGGGGTGGAGGGGCAGGGGGTGCAAAAAGCTCGGCAGCAACACTCAAGCAGGGAGAGAGAGAGCGCACCATGGGTTGGGGACACGGCCCATCATCAGGCCACACCAAATGTAGCAGAAAAGCTCTCGCCTCCTCTTTATAAGCCTCCGCCTGGCGCGCACCACACCCCACTCGGGGGCAAGATTGCCATCAGCGGCAAGGGTTGCTACACGGTCCGCCCCCGCCTCCGGGCCCGGCGGGCCCGGCACCGAGCGGACACCTCCGAGGCCCCTGTCCAGGTTAACTATCGTTATGCTCCGCGCTCTCGCCATGGGGATATGCCTCTCACTCCATCCCCCCCCCCCCCCCCCCCCGGAAAAAAAAAAAATGTCTGATACTTTGAGGAAAAGGGGAAATTTGAGGTACTTCTTTAGTCCGAGGAAAACTCCTACGGTTTTGAAGGAGTCTTCTCAAAATATGAGGGAAAGTTTTCCTCTTTTCCTCAAAAAATCAGTCATTGATTTCACAGTCCTCCTGCTCAGCTGTTCTTTGTCGATGCTCATGCAGGCTCAGGTGTTCAGCCTGGGCGCAGCAGGCCGCGTCGTGATCCCTGCGA